AAAACTAAATGTAATACATCTAGGAATTCACAATAAAACTAGTGGAAAAATTGCGCTGTGGCATTAGTCTAAGAATTAAAAGCATATGTTCAAAGGGTAAATTACAAAGTTATTACAAAATATGAATATAGAAATATATTATGTGACTCAGAAGGATTATTAATTATACAATTTTGTATTTTATAGCACTTTCTATCTTAGGATCTTAAAATGCACTACAAACATTAAAGAATTAAGGTTCACAGCACTCCTGTGTGGCAAAAAAATAGTCTAATTTTACAAACAGAGGAAGCAATATCTAACTGATGTTACTTACTCCCCCATGAGCCTTGTCATTTTAAATGAATATAGATAAGGACATTTCCTAAACTGCTGCATCACCCATTGTAATCAATGTAGCGGTGACGAGGATTACAAATTGCAAAGATGATCATTTCTCATTAATATTAATTTTTGTATTCAACTCCTGATGCTAGTAGAAGAATGAAATCGAACAAAAAAGCCACTAGATGGAAGTCTTTCATCATTTCTTATTAGTCTATAGAAGAGTAACCTTTTTATACTCTTTTCACAGCTAATGTAAATACGACAGAGAGAGATGATATTTTCAGTGTTCCACGTTTCTCCATAAGTTATCCATATACATTTCTTCTCAGTTCTACTCTCCAGTTTTTAACAGTATGGGTCTGATTTTGAGAGGTGCTGAAAGACACAGCACTCGTTGACTTCAGTTGGAGTTGTGGGTGTTCTATACCTCTGAACATCAGACCCTACAGATGTTCCTATTAGCAATGGGCTCAAACCACAAAATTCAGGTCTGAATTCAGAATTTGAAACATTTTGGATTCAAAGTTTGAACACTACCAAAATTTAAGACAGCCTGGACCCTGAGGTTAAAGGTATCTCCAGTTGCCATCTGTAGGCCATGTAAAAGTTAGACTAAGCGTCTCAGTAAAACTGAGATAGTACTACTGCTAATGTATGTTATTATTCTTAAAATAATTAGAACAGATAATGTGCCATATGTAACTTAATTGAAACCAATGGGCTATACCAGGGATCAATTTGTCACAGTGAAGACATATAAAGCCAGCCAGCTGAAAATCACCAATTACTCCCCTCTGTGGCGTCCATTGTATGTTATACTATTTTACCCACACATCAGGAGGCCTTGTTTCATTTTGAACTGAACTGATTAAAGTAAAAAAAACATAATAGTATTTGATGTGAATAATAAAAACACCATTATTCAGGTTTGTTTCCATTACTCAGGGTACATGGTTAGTGTAAATACATATATTTTTATTTATTCATTTTTAGATAGACTGACTTTCCAAGAGGGTGGATAGACAGCAATCCATTGACATTTTACAACATATACAAAGCTGAAGCGCTCTGTTGTATTACATCCATGAGATCCAATAAAGATTCCACTCTAACCAAATCCAAAAGCACTGGACAATCCTTTTTCTGGTACAGGAGGCTAACTGGCCCAGCTGTCGCTATGGATCAAATCCCATTTCTTCTGAAGTAAATGGCAATGCCTAGAGCAACATGGAGCAGGAACATACACTAAGTCAGTAGCCGTTATGGGCCTTACCCAAAGCCCACTGAAGACAATGGGAGTCTTTCCATTGACTACAATCAGTTTTGGATCAGGCCCTTTAAAAGGAACTCTTTCAAAAAGAAAAAAGCAGTGATGTTTCACTTATACTGCTGTTACTAGTGGAAAGAGGTTTCACATGATAGCAGATTCAGAACTGCATTTTTGGTAAAATACCAGTGATTTCTTTATTATTATTTTTGGATGAATTTGATACATATGAGAGTCAGAAACTTAAAATCATAATTGTGCAAGGTTCCCCATACAGATGTGCACCTGCTCCTCACTCCTGACCTGCAACACCATTGCTATTTTAGTGCCAGATCCAACTTTCCAACTTCTTTTGTAGTCAATGGAAAGACTTGGACCAGCCTCTTCCTAAGAGCAGACTGATACCCATGCCACACAGAGAAGTGGCTTTTTCATGTGCGCAAACATTCTTTAGGAACTTGGGCCCAGATGGTCAAAGTTATTTACGCTCCTAACTTCCACTGAAATCAATGGGAGTTAGATGCCTACATACCTTTGAGGATCAGGGCCTTGGATAAGACCACCAAGCATATTTCATTTGTGGACTCTGCAGAGTTTGAACCCATGTTCAGGTGGATAACTAAAGCAAAACGACTAGATATTTCAGGTCAAATTTTGCTTTCATTTGCAACTCCACTGAAGTTTTACCTCACTGCCATTGAAATCAATGGATTGCATAGGTTTAACTGTGGCCAGAATTTGACCTATTGAATTTAGCCAGTGCTTCTAAACAAAAGTTGACACTTCTTGGTTTATGCTCTTCAGAGTGGCAAGGCAGAATGCTGAGTGTTATAAATAGGGTGAGAGCCTTCATTTTGCATTTTCTGGGCCACATTCACACCTGACATAAACAGGTGCAATTTCACTGGAGTCAAAGGATTTTCACCGTCTTACACTAGGTTTCAATTTGGCTGCTTATGCTTTGGTGATTAATAGAGTGTAGTAAATAACTTGCAACGCATAATTTGATGAATGCAGTCTTGTTTTGGCTGGGCAATGCGCCCAATTTCCTCAAATTTATTCCTTTTTCTAAAATACTTGACAAATTATTTTAACCATGTAGACTGGATGAGTAAGAAAAAAACTGATTTCTGAAAAAATCTGTGCATGCAACGTTGCAATGAAAATTTGATTGCAGGGCCGTCTGCAGAAAGCAAAACATAAAAGGACTCCCATAAGGAAAACATTAATTCATTTAAAATTCAAGAAAAATGTTTTGCAGTATTTATCTGTGTCTTATGGCTACAATCAAAATTCAAACGTAATTAAAATGTAGTCCAAAATTCTTAAAATGAAAAACAACCCCCCAAAGCATGATGGTATATGACAGACTAGGGTCCCAGATGGGGAGAAATTCAAGCTCTTGCCAAAGATGCAGCACTAGTAGTGAGAAACAGGCTAGGCTGAGCTCTGCTCCTTATTCACCCCCTGGATCACAGACAGTGTAATAGGACTCCCTAGGGCATTTGTCTGTATGTGGTAGACCCTTCCTTCACACTGCTGCCCTGTGTCCCTCCATCTCCCCCTCCCCTTTCAGAAGTGGAGCCTGAGTTCTGGGAGGGGAGACAGAGACTCCAGCTGCTGCCAGAGAGAGGTGAAAAAGCATGTCACCAAACCCCTGAGATTTTTCTTGCCACTCTGCCACGTCTTCCGTGAACTGCTCATTCATGTAGACAGATTGACTGTTTAGAGGGAAGGGTGTAAGGCCTGTGGAAGTGAGGCTAGATTGCTGAAGAGTAGGGAAGGGAAGACAAGGGGTTGAGTGGTGATGGAGGATGTGAGTGGGGTTTAAGGTGCTTAACTGTATAGTGGTCAGGAGCAGCCCCTACTCACATGCTTCAGCCATTTTCCCACAATTCCCACCTAAATCCTATGACCAGAAAAATGGGTAAGTAAGTAGATCAACTTTAGTCTCCAGTGACTAATTTTGTAATCTAAAAGTGTTTTGCATTTTGATGGAATTAACATTACATTGTGGATTTTTCAAAGTTTGAATGTGTTAGCCCAGGGAACGGTGTAGGATAGTTTATTCTCCAGCTGCTTATTTATCTAGCTTCTGCACATCACCTTTTGGTCATGCCTAAAGTTTGTTTTTCATTAACTCAAATGTTATGAGTTTCTAAAATGTTTTAGGATATGGGTAATAAAACACCTACCCAGAGGATATGTGTTAGCTGGTGTGTAAGAACTCCTGAGCATTAACATCTGATTTAATTGCCTATCAAGTCCCACCCACATTCATTGCATTTAGTTGGATGCTATAGAGAAAGCCCCGACATTTATAACACTCAACTCTATGGTAACAAAAATGTCCAGAATTTAGAGTATTTTAATTCAGCTCAAACTTATGTAGCATACTCTAAATATTATGCAAAAGTTAGAGAGTTATTATAGTCATTTGTTTGCAGGCATATTTATTTTTCATTAAAAGCAAAGCTAAAGACTCATTCTGGATTTATTTTTAATTCTGTCTTCCATAAGTAGCACTGGGTGAGTAGAACAACAAAGTATTTTTGAGCATTCTTGAGAATTACACCTGCCAGTTCACTTAGGGATATTTGTGCCTCTCTTGCTCACGTTGAGTAGTTTCTTGCCATATATCAAAAATATCTGCAGAGTAAGGTACTACTCTATGTGAGTCAGCGTGGCAGAACTGAGCTCTTTTGTGGAATTCACAACCCCTTTTATCTGCAAACATTTGGTTGTTTTTATTCACAAAGAACATGTGGAAATCAAAACATTAATTCATAGCCAAAAGAAGGATTTGTACTGCAATTACTCTCTTGGCCAGTTTGAAAAGCTCTTTCCGGCCATAAAGTAGGTTTGTCTAACAGTCACAGATCTTCATGGATAGACTGAGTGAAAAGAGAAAAAGAATCCTGTTTATGAAGCCATGCCACACAATTAGGGAACTGAAACATTATAGGATTTAGGCATGAACAGCAAATATTCACTGGGTGAAATTCACTACTGTGCAGAGGGCCCAACACAAGGTCCATATACCACTTGTGTCCTACTTATACCTTCTACATTGGATTTAAGTAGCACTTAAGTTATGCATAGGCCTTGTGCTGGGTCCTCTGCACAGCAGTGAACTTCACCCACAGTGACCAGTTTGCAAACGAGAAGCTACAATTTGTTTACACAACTAGCTGTTGAACAATTGTGAACAATGAAGAAATTAAGAAAAATTACACCCTATTTGTGGATAATTTGTGAACAAATAGGTGTCAGGTCCATGGAATAATTTGAGTAGCTCTAGGCCAAAGGTTAAATTACTTTCAGAATCTAAAATTATGTATATGCTTGCAATATACACATATTTAATATACTTAATTGTTCTAACTCTGTTGTGTCATTATTCTAGGTGGGTGATGCAGTCCTCGAAAATGCACGCCTTATGTTACAGATGGAGAACATTCAAGCCTGTGCTGAAGATTTTAAAGACAGGTAGCTTTCTTGAGGCAACAATATGGGTGACTTCTTTCAATAAACATACACTTACCATATTGAATATGAAAACGGAATGTCCATATTAGAGAGAATTAGATCTGACTCACTTTTTGACCTTGGACATCCTGTGACCTTATCTCACGGTCTTATTATGTAGCTAAATTAAGGTTATAATGAATTCTGAGATCCTCAGATAGGTGATTTGAGAGCAACATATTATTATTATTTTGAAATAGTGCAACTTTAAATATTTCCAGCAGTCAGAAATTTACTGGCAAAGTTATTACTGGGCTCTCACTGATATAAAGACCTAGGGCTCTTGCTAAAGGGACACAACTCAAATCTGGCTCAAAATTTTAATTTTATAAAAACAAACCTTTATAAAACCCAATTCCTATGGAAATGTGTTTATGTTTTTTTTTAAAACATCATGTGAAACAAGAAATACAAACGTCGTAGCACAATGAGCCTCAGTGCAATGCCTATATACAAAAATGAAACCGACGACTGACTTTCATTGTCCATGATGAGAGTAATGAAAAGAGTAAAAGAAGAGCACAAATAGTGACAAATTGTACTTTTAAAAATTCTTACAGTTTTCAAAATCTAAGTTACCATTTGTACCACTGGTAGATGTCTGTTTACAGCAGAGGTTCCCACACTGTGGGGTGCGCCCCCTTTGGGGGGTGCAGGGGAATATTCAAGGAGGGAGTGGCTGGGGCTCGGGCCTGCCCCCACAGTGGGTGGGGAGGGAGCACCACCCAGCTTCACTCCTGGCCCCAGCCCCGCAGGCCCTGGCTGCCAGCCCCATTCCCGCCCCCAGCCTCATCACCCTTACCCCTGTCCATATCCTCCCTTCCCAGAGCCATGGCCCCACTCCCAGACCAACTCCTGGGGTGCGGACAAGGGTTGGGGGGAGGTGCGCAAAGTAAAAAGTTTGGGAACCACTGGTTTATAGCGCCCCTTTGAATTGCACTTACTACTACAACAAACAACAACAACATATTAGGCCTGATTCTTCTAACCCTTATTCATATTAGAACTGTTTACATAAGCAAGGGTTTGCAAGATCAGACCTTTATACTCCACACGTATTTCACACTAGTTTATCTTCACCCTTCAATGATTTTGATCTTTTCCTCAATTCATCTCTCTTTAATAGTTAAATTTAATAACATCAAAATATACATTGTGTTCTTGGCCTTCTCTTTAATGTTTCTGTCAAAAAGACAAAGCTTTGAGCTGCTAATACTACTCTTTCAAATGCAGTCTGTCAATTTCATAATCTAAGCGGTAAAACAAAATTGCCCACTGACTTTCACTAGCAATTTAAATACACAACACAAAACATTTTCTTTGTTTTCACTGAATCAGAGCAACGAGTATTAAAATCTCTACTAGCTCTCACTTGGGTCATCCACCTGTTTCCTAAGCTACTGAATTCCAGGCAAAGAAGGCAGCTCACCAATGGAGGAGTGTAGAAATTGTTTATGAAGCTGGCTCCGTTCACACCTGTACCAAGAGAGTCCAGCTGCCCAAACTGGCTGAATTCAGTGCTGCAGCATCCATGAACTGACAGTCTGTGCCTTGAACAAGAGACTTTTCACATGACTAGGCCAATATCATGGCCGTAATTTAGAATGAAAGATTAGAATGAGAAAGGAACAACTTACAGTAATATAGACAGACAAAGCAATATACAAAAAAAAAAAAAAAATCCCCATTGAGCTCGTAGCTGCATTTTTCAGCCAGGCATTTTGCTTTAATAGCATGTTTTTTTACTAATGAGCAGTTGCCACCTGATTTTTTTATTTTCATTATAAAGCAATGGCCAAATTAGAGATGCTTGCAGGAACATTATATGTTATGATATTTTTAAAAGAGAAATAAGAATATTAGGCAGTTTGTGTGCATAAGGCCTGTGCTGGTGACAGGGTAGTTTTAAGTCCAAAGTCAGTGGCAAACTTTCCATTTGCTTCAACGTGACTGGGATTTGCCCTTAAAGGTGGATGACATCCCAAGGAACAACAAACCAAGCCTTCCTCCGATATGTTTAATAATAAACAGTAATAGTAATACTTGGAGCTCATATAGTGTTTTTCATCCTTAGTTCTCACAGCACCTTGCAAAGACGGGTGCACATTACTATCCCCATTTTATAGATAGGGAAACAGAGATACAGAAAGGAAAAGCCATCCAAGATCACTTAGTATGAGAATGTCAGATCCAGGAAAAGAACACAGGTCTCCCAATTCCCATTCCAGAACTCTACCCACTAGACAATGCTGTTTCTTAAACTGCTAATTAGTGTCTTGACACAATTCGCCTTTTAATAAAGCAAGGCATGATGATTGACCTGACAATGGTTTTGAAGTGTATGAAGAAATGGTATGGTCAGAGATATCTTCTGTGCCTATCTATTTGGTACATACCAGTAATTAACATGATGGTGTGATATTTTGGGGACTACTTAGACCCGTAAGGTGTCCTGTTCCCGCCTCCCCTGTATTGTGCCATGCAGCTGTGGTTCAGATCCCTGACATGAGTAGCTAGCCCACAAGCACAAGGTCTCACCCTGGCTCTCACCTTTGCAGCTTGACACTGACAGCTCTTCCAGTCCTAAGTCTCCCCTAATACGTCCTCCCAGAGTGTCACAAAGGCACTTTTTTTCTTGATCTTCTGGAATTTGCCAGTACCTCTAGCTAAATCAATAGTAGAAAAAAAATTGCTGACTTTAATGCTGCTAAATAATCTTCAGTTCTAGATAAGGAATAGGCAGCCTTATGGGTGACCTGGTTCAACTTTCAATGAACCTACACAAAAGCACACAGTCTCCCATCTTTTTTTTTTTGAATTAGTATAACTGGCACAGCTCACCTGACTTCTATATAATGTCATAGGTCTGGCCCCCATAATTCAGAGTCACAACTGGTACTAATCCTTTCCCCATTACAACTTTTTTGCAACTATTGTAGGATTCCCTTCTTTACCTCAGCGAAGTAAAGCAATATATCCCTGTCAACCCATTTTTGTTTTACAAATTAAAATGGTTTCTATATTTGGGTGCAGCTTGATGGGAAGCGTCTCTTTTATTCTCACTTTCCCCATATTGATTATAAAAAGTATTATAATTTCTTATATGTCTAAACGTATTCTGCCAGACTTTCTTTTTTTGACTGGAGAGCTGCTCCTGATCCTTAGTACCTGCAGCAGCTCCTCATAACAGTCTTGCAGTAGATTCATACCTATGACTGTTGGTGGTAAGCTTTCACTGTTGACATCACTAACAAAAATCCCCTGATTGGGATATTTAGTAGTCCCACTTTTAATTTCAGCTTCCATGTAGCCAACACATGGGATAGCCAAACAATTTCCTGGTACCAACTTCACCCTGTACTTAGTAGTCAAACAATTTTGAGCCTAATATTTTATGAAATGTTGGCTCTAATGTGGTAACTTGTGACCTGGTATCCAGGAAGGCCCACATTTCTATCCCATTAATCTTAAATAAACAGACAGGCATTTTCCTATAGCAGCAGCCTGCCCTCCAATGTTGTTCAGGTCTATTCTCTTGTCCCTCCAAGATCCAACCCCCAATCCGCAACCTTCTGTTTAAAGCCACAGCATTAGTATTTTTAGTCATGTACCTCCTTTCTATATGTCCCACCTCACCGCATCTCCTGCAAATAGGATTACCATTGTAATCAACTATTGGCTGTGCAATGACCCATCTCAATTCCCTGTGGCTTGCATCTGTATTCTCTAGGTGCCAAGACTTCCTGTTTCAAATCCAGTCTCATATCTTGAATTTCCCTCTATACCCCTCTTAAATTTTCTCCAAAAATGTATTTTCTATCCCAGATTTACCATCCTCTGACTTTTGGCCAGCCTGCACGACACACTGACTAGCATTTTCAGACTGCAAGGCAACAGCATATTTATAGCCATACTGTGGATAAACCATAACGGCCCTGACTGGTCCTTTACCTCTCATAAGTTTTATAGCCTCTTCTTAAAGTCCAGGATGGAAGTTTCCAGATTCTATCTTAACGATAACTTTCATTCCATATATAACATAACATACATAACCCCTCAATGAATTTGTCTTTCAGCATGTTATCAGTATCTTGGGCTTCGTGAGATTCTAACTTTTCTATTGCTTGTAAAACCTCCTGTAATCATAATGTGTACTAACTTCTGTTGGAGTTTGTACCCTAGGGAAGAACCTCTGTTTCAATTCTGACAAGGTACGACTGTCAAACATACAGCCTAATCTTCTGACTATTTGTTCTACAGTCCCTTTTTCATTTTTCAGCCATGTACTCACTTCTTTTTCAGCTGTACCCACTTACTGCCCAGTCAGAATCTCAGTTTTCTCCATGCAGTCTAAACATTGACTGGAGCATTGTTTTAAATTCTCCAAATGAAACAGCATTACTCCCAAAACTGTAGCTAGAAAATTTAGACAACCAAGGAGCTCCAAAGAAATATGACATGATCAGTGGTGTTGGCGCGAGTGGCTGTTGGGCCGCGCCACCAGTTGTCCTTTCTCCTGAGTTATCCCCTGACTGACTTATGTTATTTTAACATGGTCACCCTCTTGCTTTGAACTCCTTCTATCTGGTTTGTGACAAAAATTTGCAGTGTTAATCCACTAATCCATTAACCTTTGCAAGCTTGTACACACTACTCTTCTTAATTTGTGCAGTTAATACCAAATGCGTCCTTATTAACGAGAACAAAATAAATTTCTCAACAATATACTGAGTCACTTCAGAGAATAATCAGTTTTTCCTCTCCTGGGTTGTAAGTCCAACTCCACTTTAGCTGTCCTTTGCTTCACTTCGACTTGTAGTATTCCTTAGATTCGATGATCCTGTGGCCGTACCTCTGTTCATCAAGTTTATCCACACGCAGGGTTTCTTCACCTAGTGGCTCTCAGTTGGCCATTAGATGCTTTCAAATTGCATTCCTTCAACAGATGTTCAGTCTTTCTCTCTGTTCATTTACTTTAGGTCCTTTGTGGTTGAGCTTCTCATTTACTGTTTTCAGAATCTATTTTCACCTAACACAACTTTTTGATCAATTCCCTTTTTCACCAATTATATTTCCTTTCAGTTCTTTTCCCTTGATAGTTTCTCTCCAGTACGTCTGCAGATTTTATTTCCCTCTACTTCCCTTCTCTAATAGTATCTGCTAACATACCCAGTTCTATTTTTTTCTGCTTCTCCTGACCTGAAAGCTTTCCTGTTTTCCTTCTCACCTCCTTACTTTTATTCTCCTGTTCTTCTTTTATCACCTCATCTCCTACTCCAGCTCAGGTTTATCCACTAACTCAGCCCCTAGATTAGGGTGAGCAAACTTTTTGGCCCGAGGGCCACATTGGGGTTGCAAAACTATCTGGAGGGCCAGGTAGGGAAGGCTGTGCCTCCCCAAACAGCCTGGCCCCCACCCCCTATTCGATCCCTGCCACTTCCCGCCCAGACTGTCCCCCTCAGAACCTCCCACCCATCCAACCCTGCTGCTCCTTGTCCCCTGACCACCCCCTCCTGGGAACCCTCGCCCCTAACTGCCCCCCCCCCAGGACCACACTCCCTATCCGACCCCCCCCCGCTCCCTGTCTCCTGACTGCCCCAATCCCTATCCACACTCCTGCCCCCTGACAGGCCCCCCAGGACTCCCACACCTATCCAACCCACCCTGGTCCCCGTCCCCGACTGCCCCCCCAACCATAACCTCCGCCCCATCCAACCACCCCGACAGGCACCCCGAGATTCCCACACCTATCCAACCGCCCCCTGCTCTCTAACCCCTGATTGCCCCCAGGACTCCCTGCCCAGGCCCCCTTACCATGCCGCTCAGAGCAGCATGTCTGGCAGCCGTGCTGTCCGGCTGGAGCCAGACACTCTGCCGCGCTGCTCTGCAGGAGTGCACAGCCCCAGAACGCTGCCCACATGAGGCTGGCATCACTGCTGGCCCAAGCACTACCTACCCCTTGTGCCGGGCTGGCGCTCCCTCACACATTCCTCCAAACTCTGCTTTATTTCCACAAAAGTGGGCATTTGCCCCATTTGCTCTTGCCAACTTGCCACTTTTGCCAATAAAGCTTAAAAAAGGGACTGTCCTGGCCAAAACGGGGTATATGGTCACCCTAGCCCTTATAGTATCTCTATCTTAAAACTACAGCAGGTGCTGATGCTGGGGCCAGGGTTACTACAGTATCATTTACAATATGCAAGTTTGCCCACATATGCTTACTACGTTTTTCTCTGCAGATATGAAAATGAGCAGCCATTCAGAAAGGCAGTGGAAGATGAAATTAATTCCCTATATAAAGTGATTGATGATGCTAATTTAACTAAAATGGATCTGAAGCGTCAGATAGAAAGCATGAAAGAAGAATTAGGTCTGCTGTCAAAGAATCATGAAGAAGTAAGTCAAGACTGGGTGCAACTCATAGGTTGTATGTGTCTGTTTAAGTCACGTCAATATGACACTATCTTAACCAGAAGCGAAAAAGCTAATTCTGTCAAGAATAAATGATAGTTATGTATCTGAAAATTATTACTATTTCTCTCTCTGTTAGCTTACAGACCTCTCATCTTTCTAGTCCTAATTAAAGTTATCCACATACAACTTTCCACATTTTTGACATCTGATAAATATAACAGAGCTGAACTATCTTCACTCCATATGACACTGAACACGATGAACACACAAGATGATTTATGAGGCTGGACCTTCATTAGGTGTAAATCCCCAGTGCTCTGAGGCCTGATTCACCTCTTATTCACACCAGTGTAAATAAAAAGTAAACTCCACTGAGAGAAGAATCTGGCCCCATTTCATCTTTAAACCATCAAACTTCTGAAATAACGTACATAAATTACTTTACATTAAATGTGCCATACTTAGCAAGCCACTCCATTCCCAAGATTCTTAATTTCGCCATCTGTTCTGAGCAACAAATCATTGAAACAAGTCATAATTACTTGAGAAAATAGACCACCCACGGGCCCAATTTTGCAATCCTTATTCATTGACTTAAGCAGGAATTGAATTAGTGAAGATTAGTCATACCAGCAAAGGCTTCAGCATCTAACCCCAAATAAGCACCCTCAATGACAGAAGACAAATTGCAGAGTTACCACAAGGCCCATTTAAGGGCAGTGAATAGTTGTGCTGCCCAGGGAACAGAACAGGGAGCAAACTGTGCCTCAAGAGAGTCAGAATTCAGTATCTGCATTCTCCTTGTTCCACTGGGGAAGTAAGTTGGACCAGCCCTATATCTAATTTTAGATTGCTTCCCCATCCATTCTGGCACAGCTGTACCAAGCCAAGGCTCCATCCACTCCCTGTCTCAGTCTGCCTCTTTCCCATCCACGTGTGGTGGGAAGGGAAGGGAGTAAGGCTGTCAAGTGGCTAAAAAAAATTAATCGCGATTAATTGCACTGTTAAACAATAATAGCATATGATTTATTAAATATTTATGGATGTTTTCCACATTTTCAAATATATTGATTTCAATTATAACACAGAATACAAAGTGTACAGTGCTCACTTTATATTTATTTTTGATTACAAATATTTGCACTGTAAAAAGAAATAGTATTTTCAATTTACCTACTATAAGTACCGTAGTGCAATCTCTTTACCATGAAAGTTAAACTTCTGCTGGTGGCATCTGACTCAGATGATGAAAATGAACATGCGTCAGTCCGCATTGCTTTGGATGGTTATTGAGCAGAACCCGTCGTCAGCATGGACGCATGTCCTCTGGATTGGTGGTTGAAGCGTGAAGGGACATATGAATCTGTAGCACATCTGGCATGTAAGTATCTTGCAATACCGGTTATAAAAACGCCATGCGAACGCCTGTTCTCACTTTCAGGTGACATTGTAAACAAGAAGCGGGCAGCATTATCTCCCAGCAAATGTAAACAAACTTGTTTGTCTGAGCGATTGGCTGAACAAGAAGTAGGACTGAGTGGACCTGTAGGCTCTAAAGTTTTACGTTGTTTTGTTTTTGAGTGCAGTTAGGTAACAAAAAAAATCTACTTTTGTAAGTTGCACTTTCACAATAAAGAGATTGCACTACAGTGCTTGTATGAGGTGAACTGAAAAATACTTTTTATTTTATTACTTTTACAGTGCAAATATTTGTAATAAAAAATACTATAAAGTGAGCACTGTACACTTTGTACTCTGTGTTGTAATTGAAATCAATATATTTGAAAATGCAAAAAAAATATTTAATACATTTCAATTGGTATTCTGTTGTTTAACAGTGCGATTAAAACAGTGACTAATCACAATTCATTTTTTTTAATCACAATTAATTTTTTTGAGTTAATCATGTGAGTTAACTGCGATTAATCGACAGCCCTAGAAGGGAGTAGTGGCTCTGTAGCAACTGTTCTCCTTCTGTACCCAGAGGAGTACGGTTGTGATGTATGCATCATTATTTACCAGTGCAGGGACATAAGGCAGGTCACAACTGAACCCAGAAGAAGTACTTTATCTTCACATGGAAATGCCATCCCAGGAAACGGTTGAACAGAATGATTATATTAAAGGGACCTCAATCCAGCCTCCATTTTTGCACGTACATGTTTACATACCCTTGCCCGCATATTCTCCGCACGGTCATCACTTGTAGGTGATATTGTTTACAGACCAATTCACACTGTTCTAGCAGTATATGGAAATGGTATACGTAAAGAGGGTGGTGTAAAAGGACTACAATTCAGGCCTACATGTGCAAACCTCATTTGTTTTTGTGCCCATACAAGTGACAGTGCTCAAAAATATTTGTACAAGCATTTGTAAAAGAGGTGGCTTGAAGTTGGCCTGCAGAAAATAAATATTTAATAATTGGCCAGTTACCAGCCATCAAAATAGTTTTTCCCAAGCAGTGATGAACAAACACTTTTCCAGGAAGTTTTATTCCTTTCATATCCCAACCTCACATCCAAGAAGCATGCAGATCCTCTGAGCTGAGACACAGTATATTTATACATACATACACACACATGCTTATACAGCATCAGGTGCAGTTGGGGGCTGTGCTATACTCTTGGAAAGGATCCTACAGGTGCCTGTAACACACCATACTTTGGAAATCATATGAAAGAGTTGATTAGTTGGAATATTCCCACCACAGAGCGGGACAGACAATGGGCCTGTTTCTCCACTGCTTTGCACCTTATACAGTCATTTATTCCTGTGCAGATAAAATGTTCAACACTACCAAAACAGAATGACAGTGTTTTACACTCACACTGCATTCACTTTGCAATAGTGTAAATGACCACAAAAGGTGCAAAGTAGTGGAGAATCAGATCTTTTAAGTAGCTTGCAATAGCCCCAAGAGCTAAAGTTTAAATAATGGCTTTGTAGATGTGTTTGCATCATACCAAGACAACTGAATTGCACCATAAGTGCTCCTTAGTATCCTCTAAAGCTGGAACTGACTGCTGACCCTTTTTCTTATATGTATGTTTTTTTCAGGATGTGAAGATGTTATACAATCAGCTTGCTGGATCACAGCTGGAAGAACTGGAAGCTCCTATTGGAACTGGCCTAGATGACATACTGGAAAAAATCAGAATTCACTGGGAGAAGGATATAGAGAAAAATCGTGTTGAGACAGGTGCCTTGCTTCATACCAAGGTAGGCACCTACAGTGTTCTCTGCAGCTGTCTCCAACACCAATGGATACTGCAACTGAAGAAAAATATATTTTTTCTAGTCCCCTGGGGTAATCATTAAAATATTTTTTCTTGAAACAAAGAGTGATAACAGCCTAAGGAACCTTGATCCAGCTTCATCCCAAGAAACATTCATGCAAATCCACTGACTTCACTGGGGTGGCATAGATGTAACTGAGGGTGGAAAGTGGGTCTATTTATATCCATTTTAAAACATCAGTGCTTTCATTGCAAAATAAGGGAGTCTATACACATTTTTGCTTTCCTATCATTTCCAATGCAGAGACGCTAAAGCAGAAAATTAGTTCTCTACAGCAGCGTTTCTCAAACTGGGGTCTGCAAACCCCTGGGAGTCCCTGAGGGTACTCCAGGGGGTCCACAGGCCCAGCTGATCAACTCCTTCCCCTTCCTCCCTCAACTCCTCCCCCTCCCTCCCAGCGCCTGCTGCACACCAGGGAACAGCTGTTCCCCAGCGTGCAGGAGGCACTGGGAGGGAGGGGAAGGAATGGGGACAGGGCAGAATCATGTCTGGGGCTGCTGGCCCTGCTGATCAGCTAGGGTTGCCAACCCTCACAGTTTCGCTGGGAGTCTCCCAGAATCAGGCTTTGTCTCCCAGAGGCTACTGAAGCCAAACCGGGAGATTTCAGGTACTAAAAGTCTGGTGGCGCAGGGGAGCTAAGGCAGGCTCCGCATCTACCCTCGCTCTGCACCGCTCCTGGAAACAACCAGCACATGCTTGTGGCCCCTGGGGGGGGAGGTGAGGGGCCGGGGTCTCTGCATGCTGCCCCAGCCCCGAGCGCAGATTCCGCAGCTCCCATTGGCCGGGAACTTCGGCCAATGGAAGCTGTGGCAGCAGCACTTGTCTGCAGGAGCAGCGCCTGTGGAGCTGCCTAGGAGCCGCTGCCGGAGGGATGTGCTGGTTGCTTTCGGGAGCTGCCCGACATAAGCATCGCCTGGCTGGAGCCTGCACCCCATCCCGCACCCCAACTCCCTCCAACAGCCCACACCCCCTCCCTTACCCAAACTCCCTCCCAGAGCCCATACCCTACTCCCCCTCATGCACTCCAACACCCTGTCCCAGCCTGGTGAAAGTGAGTGAGGGTGGGGGAGAGCGAGCGGGAACAGGAAGAGGTGGGGTGAGACCTTGGGTGAAGGGGTGGAGTGAGGGTGGGGCCTAGGGCTGAGCAGGTGGGCTTGGGAGTCCCCGAAAAATTTTAAATTAAAATGGGGGTCCTTGGGTTGCTAAAAGTTTGAGAACCACTGCTCAACAGGATTCAAGAATGAAATCTTTTGTCAAAAGCCACACTTTCTCAACTACTTTGCTGGGGATGGAAATAAAAAGGTAGAGTTTAAGGAAAAGCATGCATGACCATTAAACATAGGCTAGCACCCAACATCCTAGCAAACAGAAGGATTTGACTGCTGTCAACTAGGAATGACCATAACTGTGTGATATGATTTCATATAAAAGGAGAGCCATTTATAGGTGTGGAGAGGAAACTTGTCCCCTAGATTTGGCTTTACCTTCAACCCTCCTTAAAATTGTCATTCTGTTTTGCTGCCCCCTCACCCTTCTTGCTTCATCTACCATGTCTCAGTACACAGCCATCTTGCATACAATGCAACTAAAATCACTGAAATGTACTGCAGCTTTTCCTCTGCTAAAATGAATCATGATTTGGGGGGGATGGAGGTGGGGGAAACAGCTACCTTAGGTAAGTAATATTGCAGTTTTGCAGTATCAAGCTCAGCGCATAATCCTATGTTTTTACAGCCATCTCACTCTCCATTGACTATTGAAACAGAGCACAGTAAAATCACGATTGCAGCTGTGCTGCAGAAATACTTAGAAAAGACATAGTCCCCATAAGGTTTACGATGCGGAGCTGCTACAAAAATAGAGGGTGCAAAAGGGGTGGAGAGATAAGGAGGACAGCAAAATGAAAGGAAAGAGGAATCTGAGGTCCAGCCTGTCTCTGTAAAAAGTATTTAAATTTAAAGAATGTTACTATTTTATAGATAAGAAAGAAACATCCCTTGCATAGGCAACCGACTTCATGGGTGCTCCAGGGCTTGAGCACCCATGGAAAAAAAAATGGTGGGTGCAGCAGCCCCCCTATCAGCGCCTTCCCCTCCCCCCAGTGCCTCCCACCCACAGGCCTCGCAATCAGCACCTCCACCTACCCCCCAGCACCTCCGACCCACAGTGGATCAGCTGATCTGCGGCATGCAGGAGGCGTTGGGGAGGAGGGGGAAGGAGTGAATACAGGTCGTGCGCAGGGAAGGGGATGGAATGGAGCGGGAAGAGGCGTGGGGGGCCTTGGGAGAAGAGGTGGAATGGTGGTGGGGCCTGGGGAAGAGCCCAACACATTAGAAAGTCGGCACCTATGATCCCTTGATTTCAACAATGACATCAGGGTGATGGTAGCCATATAAGAACCTAAAAAAATGAGTTTATCCAGGAGATTCTTCATCAAATCCTTACATTTCAAATCTTGTTAAGCAAATCTTTCACAGAGCTGATCTTATGTAAGCCAGATCCTCAGATGGCTTAAATTGGCCTACCCTACCCTCACTGAAGTCAATGGCACTACATCAAATTACCTTTGTTGAGGATGTGGCCCACTACATGTTTTTAGGAGTATGATAACTGCCTACGAGAAACCAATTCCTTCAGTCCCCTCTCCTCACTTATTCCTCATCCTCATGTGGAAGTTGATCCTCTCACTCTTTCCTATTTAAAAAACAGAAATTTATTATAGCCTCTACTAACAACCAGCACTTCAACTGTGCAGAGGTGTCACATGCAAAGGGGACTTTTCACACATACCCAACTTTTCATAGGGCTTGTCTACCCTGGCAAGTTTTGTCGATGAAACTAATGTCAACACGAAAAAAATCGACAAAAGCAAAGTCACCAAAGCGAGTCTATATTTGCTCTCTCTGTTGACAGACCATGTCCACATTCAGGGCACCATTGTCGACAGCATGAGCAATCCACTGTGGGTATGTATCCCACAGTGCCTGGTGACACCATCTTTCGCTAGGTGTTGTGGGAAGGTGGAAACGGAGCACGGCGCATCCTGGGACGTGCAAAATGTCCCGTCATGCACCGCTTTGTGTCCCAGCCCTCCAACGGTTTCTGGCTTCCTTTCGCGCCGTTTTTCCAACTGTCAGTCTTTGTAGTGCAGGCCAGCATCTGCACTGAGAGAGGATGGATCCTGCACTTCTCTCCTATGCACTGTTAACTGTCATGAGGATATCATGTATGGCAGTAGAGTTACTCACAAAGTTACTGACAGAAGATGAACCGAAGGCGCCCGAGTGTGATATGGACAGCAGCAACTTATCAGTGCTTTTGGCATTCACAGAGCAGCTGCATATGGTAGACCGTCGCTTTTGGACTAGGGAAACAAGCACTGATTGGTGGGATCGCATTGTCATGCAGGTGTGGGATGATGACCAGTGGATACATAACTTTCAGATGCCTAAAGCAACCTTCCTGTAGCTATGTGCTGAGCTGGCCCCCCGACCTGCGGGGGATGAGAGCTGTCCTGTGGAAGCTGGCGAATCCACACTGCTACTGGTCAGCTGCAAACCAATTTGGAGTGGGGAAGTCTACTGTTGGGGCTGTATTATTCCAAGCATGCAGGGCAATAAATCGCATCCTGCTGCGGAGGACCATGACTCTGGGAAATGTGCATTAAATAGTGGATGGCTTTGCAGAGATGGGTTTCCCTAACGGTGGCAGGGCGATTGATGGCACACACATTTCAATTTTAGTGCCAGACCACTTGCCTCAGAATACATCAATAGGAAGGAATACTTCTCCATGGTGTTGCAGGCGCTTGTGTATCACCTGGGGCGTTTCACGGACATCGGTGCAGGCTGCTCTGGAAAGGTGCATGGCGCATGCATCTTCAGGAACAGTGGCCTGTACAGAAAGCTGCAGGCGGTGAATTTCTTTCCAGACCACAAGATCACAGTGGGGGATGTGGAAATGCCCATAGTAATCCTGGGAGACCTGGTTTACCCTTTACAGCCCTGACTCATGAAACCTTACACAGGACACCTGTCAGCAGCAAGGAGCGTTTAACAACAGGTTGAGCAGGTGCCGCGTGGTAGTCAAATGCACCTTTGAAAACTCGCTGGAGGTGTCTCATTGGCAGGCTAGACCTTACCGAGGATAATATTCCTGTGGTCATAGCTGCGTGCTGCACTCTGCATAATCTGTGTGAATCTAAGGGTGAAATGTTTGCTCAGGTGTGGAGCACTGAGGCAGAGCACCTGGCTGCACAGTTTGAACAGCCAGATGCTAGGGCTGTCAGAGGAGCCCAGAGGGCTGCTATTAACATCGGAGAGGCTTTGAGGAAGCACTTTGACAATGAGGGGCACTAACACCTGTCTGCTTTGGAGTTGCCTCCCTGGTGCATCCATGTACAATTTTGGGGCCCAAGATCCATGCAACAAAATGATTTAGAAGCCTGTTCCCGAGACTGAATTGATTGCTATATGCTTTTGTAGAGCACAGAATAAAAATGCTGTACCATTAAATAGCTTAGCCTTTATTTATTGTTAAAAAGGGTAAAACCTCACAACTGTGTGTAGCTCCAGCTGTGAGAGGGGGTGGAGTGATGGGGAAACTCAGAGGAGGGCTGTGAAGCGAAAAGGAATGTGAGAGCATAGAGGGGGTGGGGTTGGCAAAGAACTGTGCATCCGCATGTGCTGCAGGGGAGATCGACCAGGGATCTGCTCAGTCTGCAGCTGTACCAAAGACTTGAGCACCTCTGTCTGATCCTCCATCACTTTTATCATCCGCTCTGTTGCTTGCCTAGCAAATGCTGTATTCTCTTTTCTGTCCTTGGCCTGTCTCTCATCACGCTGCAGCACCTCCCAGAACGTGTCTTCTTTGCTGCATCTCAGCTTCTTCCTTATCCGCCAAAGCTGGTCGGCAGGGGTGCG